GGCGATGGGCAGAGAGACCCACAGGGGCTTTCGGTACCTCCGTTTCTGGCGCTCGGTGAATGAAACCCACCGGCATGATCCGTGCCGGCGCAGCAAAGACGGGGTGGGAAGCTCCGCTGCGAGCTGAAACCTTTAATGTGCCTCCCTACATTATGTAAGAAAAATTATTCTCAGGCTGGTAAATTAGTGGAGGGAGCCATTGTGTCCGTCCAGGGGCAAGGTGGGAGCGGGCAGCAGGCGGGGGGGACGGGGCTGCCCGCTTCGGTCTCTGCCGCAAGCATGAAAGGAGGGTGGGAAGTGTGAGTCAGGGCTCCTGCTGCTATTTTCAACGCCTGGGGTGGGTAACGCAGTCTGGTGGGAATAGTGGCTCTGCTCTGGGAAGCACGGGGCTGCGAACGCATGTGGGGACAGGGAGGGGACTGGGGACACCCAGAGCATCCCCTGTAATGCTGGGCTAATTGCAATCAGCAACCCACAGGGCAGATGCTGTCCCGAATTACGTTGATAAAGTTCTCTGGGGAAGAAGGGCCATAGAAGCACCCACATTTAGTGTCTGCCCCAAAATCAAGCTCACCAGTCCACTGCCCACCTGCATTTCCCTGCCAGCCGTGGCCTCTCCCTTGTGGCTTTTGACGGCCACCAAGGACCCGGAGCATAGTGACATCCTCGCTGCGGAGCTGCCGGGTCGGTGCAGCAGCTCCTCAGGTCTGCCCTGCATGCCAGCATCCCTCAACAGCTCGGTGGTGCTTATTTTGTCCACGCTTGAAGGTGCACATGGTCCTTCCCACAGCTGCTTTGTCCCCACGTTGTATTTCTGCTGGGAACCACGGTCGCACTTTGTAGTGAAAGTCCTCGCTCGGGCTCGACGCCGCAGGAGCCACGGCATTAGCTCATCCGCTGCGCTTCCCGGTAGGCTATAGGGGATGGAAACCAGAATGGTTCAGGGCAAGAGTAAGTGTCTTGCGAGTTTTGTTCTGAACTTTGCAATAATTGTGCAATTTCTTAGGAATGGGTTTAAAACCCTTCCAGTCGCGAGTGTGCCGGGAGACCCACAGCCCCACACCGGGGACACGGCCACGAGCTCCTCACCTGCCACCTGGGCTTTCTTCCATCAAACCTGCAGCAGCAAATAAACCAGCATTGCATAATTGTGCCAGGCCATGGCCCTCTAAGTACTGTTTGCTCAGCTTATTAGCTTGAGCCTTTTGCATGTCTCAGCTCTCCTGGGTTGAACTCCGTTCACAAGAATAATTTTTCTTCCTGCGCCCTGCATTCCTCCCGCATCCCACATCAGCCCCTGCTCTCCCTTCCGAGCCTGCCTGGAAAACAAGCACTGGAAAACAGCACTTTCATTTTGATGTGCTTACCAGAAGGTTTT